GAGATGCAAATTGAAGTTATTATAGCGGTGTAATGCTTTACATACACACGCTGATTTCATCCTAAAAAGATTATTTTCTGGTTTCAGACTGTGTCAACTTTAAGCTCAAAGAACTCCAATCTTTGGGAATAAACATATCCGCTCGGAGAACCATACTGCTGTAATGATAATGGCTCGGCTTCAGCTGCATGCCTGATAAAATCTTCTTATGCAGGCAGATCTGATGTCTGCATGGGCCAGCATGGCAATCAGGGGAGCAAACACAATAGTGTTATTGCTTGGGTTTGCATGCTGTTCCCTGGCCAGGATAAATATGTGATCTATTTTGATAAACAAGCCTGAATGCCTCCTTCCCCGTAATAAAGTAGTTAACGATCATCTTCTCCGAGAATGTCAAATAATGAGGCAGTGGCTTAACAAGGCAGTTCCTCAACCTTGTATAAGCAGAGCCTCGTTTCCTTGAAAGATAAATAAAGCTGTGATGTGCTGTGTGCTGTGCTGCTGTAAGGCTTTTTATTTGTGACTTAAAAAAAAAGAAGTAATAATTCAGGGTAAACTTTGTTCAGCTGTTGGATGCCTTTGCTTTCCCCCCCGTTCTGTTTGCTCACTTGGAGTTGTGTTGTGCAATGCTGTGTCCTGTTCTGCAGCTGCTCTATGGATGCCCTGAGCATGGTGGAGGGGAGCAGGCTGGTAAGGCTGCAGCGATCTGCCTGGCCCAGCCCACTGCTGAGGCACCCCAAGGCTGCTGCTCAGTTGGATGAGCGAGCTCTGGCAGATACAGGGGGGTACTTCCCCTGAACGTGCTCTCAGCACCCTCCGTCAGAGGTCCTGTCCTGGCTAATGCTGATTTAGGCTGCGCAGCAAGCATCATTTTCTCTGGGGTCCAGTGGTTTCTGAGCTTTCCTTTGCAGGGCTAAAGGCAGTTCTGAGCTCTGCTCTAAGCTTTTGCTGATAGAGAACCCTGAATTAATCTTCAGGCCATTTGGGTATTGGATTACACTCTTCCTCGTTCCTTTCTGTGCCAGCAGTGCTGGAAGTGGCATGGGATGCTAATCCTGCCGTACCTATTCACTGTCGCAGAGGAAAATCTATGAAAACAAATTGCTAGTCCAAGCTAAATTTATTCAGTTGGAGTTAATTATAATCTTTATTTAGTCTCAAGTGATGCCTTCTTATCATACACTTATTATGGCTGAGAAAATTAATTTTTATTCTACCATAAAGGTGAATGTAATAATCTGGGTTCAGGGAAGGGATTACTTTAATAAGATTTATAGGCAGCCTTTCAGACAGTGTGGTTTTATTACTATCTGTAGGTGGCCTTGCTGTGTGTGTGTCTTTCAGTCTGGGTGACTGTGCAAAACACACATGAGCTGAAAGTACAGTAAGCACAGCTCAGGAACTTCCCCATGCAACTTCATTTTTTGGCAGCAAAAAGCAGGCATGCTGCTGAACTTGCTGACAAGTGCAGTAATGCAGTTTGTTGGTGAACTTGTGATCTGCTCAGAGGGTTTTATTCATATGCATGGTTTAATTTTTCACTGAAAAATGTGTTTTGGTGGATGGGAGTGTTCAGAGATGGACTTCTGCTGGTGATGACTGTGATGCACAGCTGCAGGGACATCTGGGGAACAACAGTTTGATGAGACATTTAATAAGGGGATAAGCCGACGAGACGCTGTCCCAAGCCTACAGAAGTTAATTAACCTCTCTTCAGCTTTAGATGTTTCGATTAAATAGGATTTTTTATTTTTTTTAATTGCATCATTTTTCTTCTCTTCATCTTTCAAAACAACGTGCCCAGCTAGCAAAGTGAACGTCTCCACTAAAGTCTAATCAAGACCAAATTGAAACTGTTTGTGGGTCCAATATCAAGTCCTATCCTCACACCAAACTAGAAAGCAAACAAGAAGCTTAAAGGGATCCTATCATCTTTTTTTACATTACAATTTTTGGTAAGCTCACAGCTTCTGGGATGACTTGAGAGCTAAAGGAGTGTTGGGTGGTCTGTATGCAGGGCAGGTTGCGCGCTGAGCTGCTCCTGGCTGGGGTCCTCTCAGCCTGCAGGTCTCAGCCTTTGTGTGCACGAGAGAAAGGAACCTACCAAACTTGTCCAGAGTCAAATATTCTCCTATAGTTTAGCAGTTCTAGAATAGCTTTCCTTATGTGGACAGCCCGTTCTGGGGATACAGTGTGTTTTTATTCAAGGATAATGCCTTCCTTTCCCGAGCAAAATAATTATTATGAATAGAGCCATTTTTATCGTGGAATAATGTACATGTGTAGTTTGGTCTTTATGGTCTTTAGTGGGGGCTGGTGGGAAGGGCTGGTGATTTTTCTCCCATACAGACAAGCCATTGATTGCCTCCGTATGAGTCATGGATAACATCATAGTACTTACTGGCACCACATTACTTGAAATTATTCCTCTTACAAAGAGGAGTGTCTGTATGATCTCACGCTACAATTCTGATGATGCTGCAGAAAAGATGAATTTTAACATTTTCAGTCTTTCACAGGTGCGAGATTAGATTTCTTGTTTGTTTTCCACCCCCAAAAAAAGAATATGGGAAGAGTTGCATATTTGAAATGCTTCTTGCTCCTTCAGCTTCTGGAGCTGATGGAAGACTTGACTCCTGTTAAATAGCTAGTTAATTGAGAGGGCAGATATTTATGTTCCAACGGGACTTATTTTAATATGTCAGATCACATCCAGCTCTATTGCTCCCACGTACCCCTCAGTCCCAAAGTCATCTGAAAAATGGTGCTTGGCCTTTGAGGTGGCTCTGAGCTCTGGAGTTGCCCATTGGCCTCCATTGACATGTTCTAGTCGTGCTCTCCTTTGTTTTGCAATTAGGACTAAACACGTCCTGCCAACTTTTGATCTCACTGGAGAGGTTACTAAAGGAACAGGTGATTGAATAGCTGCTCTGTTGTCTGTCAGGAGCTGGATGTGTGTTCTGCTGGTGATGGTTACTGTAAGGAGATGGATGTTGTGGGGCTGACGTGCTGAATTAAAAAGGCGGGCTGTTGCCTTGCCATCCTATGAAGTATTTTTTTTTTTTTTTTTTTTTTAAAAATTTCCTACAGCATCGTAAAATGCTGCTAAATTCAGACATCATATTTTGTTGCAGGCTGGTTCTAGGACAAAGCCCAGCCCTGTCTACTGGTGTTTATGGCTTCCCATATAAGCTTTCAGACAAAATTTGTGTCTCGTTTAGTTTGAGTTACAGCTGGCTGATGGCCTGGCTCTCACACCAGCTCTCAGCAGCAGCACTGAGTGTTGCCACTGTAATGCAGCGAGGAAAAGGAAAAAACACACATTTCAAACTTCCTGTAAATCAGTGCTCGAGAGAGATAAAGTATCTGCGTGGAGGATAAGGAGAGGGGAAAAAGTGCTGTCATATAAACGCAGATGCGTTTAAGCCTTGGCTCATCTTTGCTTTCACTGTGTGCTCGGGAGCTGCGTCGGTCTCTGCAATGTGGGGTGTGCTGGGGGGGGCAGATCCTAGCAGTCCTCCCCCAAAAGCAGAAGGTACTCTTGCTTTTGTCTGTCCTCTGCTTGTATATACAGCAGCACAGTTTTTATGATAAATGAGGCTGTTAAAACGTATTGCTTTCAGATGCAGCCTCGTGGAGCTGGGAGGAATCCCAGCCGTTGAAAGTAAATGAGCAGAATTTCAGCAGAGAACAAGAATGGAGCGAAGTCGGATGGGTGAGGTTTGCCCTAGCAGCTGTCATTGAGGAGTGCAGGCTTTAAAATACACAACCTGAAAAAAAACAGCTTAAATATTCCAGCTTTTATCTGTGCTAAATTGTGGCTGTACGGACGCCCAGCTGCTAACAGGTGTCCTTGTTCCTGCAGTTGTTGCACTGCGTATCTGCCATCCCCAGCCCTGACAAACAGTGAAATCGCCGCTGAGCTCCAGCGGGAGACAACAAGAGCTCTGACCTTAGGATCTGTCATTGTTGCTTTTGTTATCTCTGCATTATGGAGCCGCTTCATTTTGATTCATTTGCCTCCTGTTTATTTCCTCTGTGGCGCTCCCAGGAGCAAGCTTGCATTCACCAGCGTATGAATTGTTAGTCTGAAAGACCCACCACTTCTTTTTGGTAGAGTCTCACAGCCCAGATTGAATGTATCTCACTATTAATTGGAGATCAGCCCCAACCAAAGGCAGCAGTCTGAACCCTCCCTCCCTCTGGAATCTTTTCTTGCCCAGGAAAAATTGCCCAGTGCTGGCTAGAGGATTGACCATTGTGTTGCAGAGAAACTTCTGTGATTTACAAATGCATTTCATTCTCCTCTGGAATTAAACAAACAAACAAAAATCCTTCCAAGCATCTGTGAACCTTCTGCATGTAAAGGATTTCTCCTTCTCTCAGACTCACCCTAGCCTTTAAATCTGTCCTGTTGAGACTCTACCAAACCCTATATTTTCTTGTGTATGAAAACTCCTTTTATTCTTTCTTTTTTTTTTCCCCTTTCCTTTGATTTTCAGGAATACCAGTCTTTTATTGGATTGCAGCTAACTTTCAAACTACTGACCTAGCAAAAGTGGAGGGGAAGTGATGCTGATTTGCAAACCCCAGCTCAGCCTGCATTGTCTTTAGTTGGAAGGGGGAAAAAAAAAGTTTCATTGCCTACTAGAGCCAATCCAGTGGGAGGCTTGAAGTATGAACTTCAAGCCAACAATGGCAGGATATAAAGAAAACATTTATGCTAAGGGTAGTGAGGCACTGACACAGGGTCCCCAGAGAGGTGGTGGTTGGTGACCTTGGGTGTTACCAGAAATGGGGCTCTGAGCACCTCATGGAGCTGTATGTGTTCCCTTGCACTGCAGGGGAGTGGGTCCAGGTGGCCATTAAGGGTCCCATCACAGAACTCAGATGGTTCTGTGTTTGTTGCGCAGTACCTATAACAGCACTGATCTGCTCTTGTGGGGTGTGCTAAGCAAACATTAGAATTGTCTTTGTTTCCTTTTTCCTTTGGCTTGCAGTGGTGGAGAGCCGAGGAGGGATCATGGACAGCGTACAGAGATTCTCAAACCTGCCAACGTACCTCCCTGCCAGCTATCACATCTGCAACGCTGATGTTTTCTTCTTCCTTAAGGAAACCAACCAGGACATCACGAGGAATTCCAGTTTGCAGTCCAGGGTGGATTCATTCCTTATATACAAATCCAAACTGCCGCCTGTCCTAAATGCCACGTACGGACCCTTTTCTGTGGAGCAGGCTGTTCCTTTAGACCTCATGCTGTCTTCTACATCTTTTGGTTTCACAAATGAATTCTCTTTCAATTGGAAATTAAAATCGCACATAATAGACAGCTCGATTTATTCCAACAAACCTAAAATACAAACCTTGTTCTATATTGCGGGGAAAGACTGGGACGACTATGACCCTGAGGAGAGGTTGCCTTGCGTGAAGATGTTTGCTTTCCTGGAATCTAGAGGAGTGGTGGCCAGCTGCAGGTTGACAGGCCAACTGGGATTATGCGTTGCAGAGCTGGAGTTATATCCCAGCTGGTTCAGCTCCCCTCCACCCCTGGTGTCAGAGGATACAGCTCCCCTGGAAGGGATTACTGTGGAGCTCTTCTATAAGATTGATACAGCAGATGGGGAATGTTCTCCAGAGGATGAAAAGTGGGAGAACAATATTCACGCGGATCAAGATAACGCACGGAAGGCTTTGCCAGCTATGGAGAGGATTGGTAGCATTGTTGTTTACCCAAATCAAGACACATTAAAACAGTCTGCACTGAGGCTAGATGAGAATGTCGTAATCCGCTTGCCACTCAGCCCGGTCAAAGAAGGGGACGTTGTGACCTTCCATGTCTCCCTGGCAGATGACTCTCTGGCAGACCAGTTTGTATTAAGGTAAGAGAATATTTGAAGTGCTGTATGCTAAGCAGTTTACAAATAAGGACAAATTGATCTCAGATGTAATTGCTTTGGTGACATTCAGTGTTTTCCTTGGAGAACTCAAGTATTAGCTCTCCAACTGGGGAAAACTATAAATACTCTTGAGTTATCTGTGTGGATGACTCTGTTTGGGATGTGGCAATTGATTTTAAAGTACGCGCTATGAACATATGCATCATCATCTTTTGTTTTAATTCTGTTCGCTTCTCCTAATGCTTCTTTCTTTTAAATTACTCCTCTCTAAGTCTGCCAGCATAGTTGCCACAACCCATTTTGCTAAGTGGTTTGCAGGAGTGCTTTCTGTTGCTTTGGTGAAGTAGCCTCAATTTCCCAGATAATCTTTCCAAAGCTCACTGGCTGCATCTTGTACATGTTGTATGCAGCAGGAACTACTTCACTGCATTGTGGAGGGGAGCTGAGAGAAATCAGATGTGCCTCAACTTGTGTAGGAGGTCTTTGGCAGAGCCAACATTCAAACCCAAGCTTTTCAAGTCCTGCTTTGATTTTGCTGCAAGACAGCCTGTCTGACCTCCTCGAACTCATGACTGCTTGTTGCATGAGCCATTTTTGTTCTAAGTTTAGACATTTTTTGGTGACCTTTACTCATGAATATGCCTGTAATAGGAGAAATCAGGCATTTCTAACCCCCCTGAGGGTTAGTGCTGCATGTCTGTTATGTCCTTAGCTGTCAGACTCTACGTTCAGAGCTGTGTAGAGATTGAATTCAGAGAGAAATGTGAGCCAGACTTGGGGAATAGAGGGGCCAAAAGGTAATTGGAAAGTGTCATCTGCAGTGAGAATGTGAGACACTGGGGAGGAAAGGAGCTGCAGTCCATGCTGGCAACCTCAGACAGATTCGTGCCTTACTTTTAACTTTTTGATCTGAGGAAGATGAGAGCAGAACATGACAGAAGTGCACTTCAGGGACAGATGTTGAGAAAACAGACAGCGAGCTGCATGCAGTACTTGCACAGCGTTCAACTGTTGTGAAATAGTGCATGCATATCAATGAGACTGCAGCACAAACCAGGACACAGTGTGCAGTCAGTAGGTCATGGGCCACCTGCACCCAAGCATTTTTCATGCAATCATAGAATATCTTCAGTTGGAAGGGGCCCGTGAGCATCATTGAGTCCAACTCTTAGGTTTCATTGCGGTAGGGTGAAATACATGAGAAAGGATATCAGAGCGTAGGGTTTAAGCAGACTTTAAATGGTTTGGGTGAGGAAGACTCTTCCTGTTAAACCAAGTTATTCTGTTATTGCTTCTGTCTGTGTTTGCTGGTTTTCCTTTGCTAAATGTGGTTTTGATCAGCAGCTGCTGTTGAGCAGGGCAGTAGATGGACCTCATGGACTGGTTGGACTTGAACAGTTGCCTGTTGATCCTCAGCTCTAGAACAGAGAGGTGATAAGATTTGCTCAAGGTTTTGCATCAGCTCTTGTCAGGTTTTTGTCCTTTGCCACACCATGGATGGAATTCCTGAGGTGTTAGAGAACCTTGTAACAAACAGCAGTGAAGATGGTTGTTTTGAAGTTTCCACTGGTCAGGAAAGCACCAAAACTCTCCTTTAGGGATGGTTTTGCAATGCTGTCTTCAAAAGCATAAAACCAAAATGGAACTCCTGAGCACAGTCACAGGGTGGGGTTTTGAGGAAGCAGAAGTAGAGGGATCCTCCAAGCCAGGAGCCCCAGGATGAGCCCCAGGAGCACAGGCATTGCTGTGACCTCAGCTTCCCAGAGCCAATGGAGTTTCTGAGCTGCTGGGAAGGGGAAGGCAGTCAGTTTCCATGGGGATTTCCTTGGAGAAGTGTGCAGAATCAGTGTGTCTCCAGGAGATGTTTCTGTTAGAATAAATAGGTGCGTTGTATGCACCCAGAAACACTGCTTTGGAAAAGCCACAGTCAGCTCTTGGTTGCCTGGCCTGTCCTGTCTGTTCCTTGGCTTTGTCTGTGTTGTGATTTTCATCACAGAAACTGCAATTATTTCTATTTAACCTTGGGTTGGAAGCTGTAAGTAAGAAGCAAACTGCAGCTCTGGTGGCTCACCCATCCTGCAGGATGGAGCTCAATGTTAATGTAAAAACATAGAAGGTTTTTATATACATCGGATTTCTGTGTGTTACAGAGGAAAAGATACACTGAAGTAAATGTTTGCCTTGGGAAAAGTGTTTTTTGCCTAATATAACTGATTGTTTTTAATCATATCTGTTATAAGTGGAGTGGAGGAAATTGCAGCCTGGCTCGTAGGAGATGATGGATCAAAATTACGTCATCCTCTGCACGGCTCTGGCACTCTGCGAAAGAACAGATCTGCTCAATTTTATGCATCTCCTCACAGTTTCATGCTGCGTTGTGCAGTATTGAATTTGGTGTTGCATTTTGCTCTAGCAAAACTGTTCTCTTAAAAGAGCCAATTCTTCCTCGTTTCGGAGGAAAATTGCAGGCTCTTCATTAAAGTGGGAAACTGGAGAGCAAGTGGGAGCACTTTCCTGGTCCAGCACTCTGCTCAGTTGTTAACCCCCATCCTTCTGTTGGTGTTGCTGGACAGGGGATGGGTGCTGCAGGGTGTGCATGAAGCTCCCTTCCACACCCCTCACTGGTTTTGTTCAACTTAAGCTAAGTTTTTTCATTTGTTTTCATTCAATAACTGGAATTTAAGATAAAGTTAGAGCTGTGGGTTGTGCCCGAGGGAATTTCTTTTTATTCTGCAATCTAGACAGTGTTGCTGGGTGTAATTGAAGGGCTGAAATATGTCAAGGGGCAGAATTTGGAGGTTAAGTATGGATGTCATGCTTTTGCTGTGTCTGACAGTCATATTGCTCCCCTTGTTGACAGATGATCTGTATGTGTGTACACTGAAATTCTTGTGACACTGGAGATTAATTTGTGGCCTTGCTCTGGTCCGTACTGTAAAATTTGCCATCTGTGAGCATAAATTGTGGCCATTATGTGAGGCGGGCTGCTACTGAGCGTGGTATGACAGTAAAGATAGGCAAAATGCACTAAGTTACTGTGAGTAAACTTTTTAATGAGATGCCTTGTTTGAAAAAAGCAAAGATGAAAAGATGAAGCATAGCTTTGAGAATCCTGCCGGACTGGACACACATTCGTCACCAATTTGTGGGCACTTTCTGTCTTTCCATGCACAGGAATATCTCATTTACTGATGAACGTGGCTGTCACATAGTGAGCAGGGGAAGCTGGAAATGGCCATGAAAGAAGGGTCGACAGCAGCTAATTGCTAAACGAAAGAAGTCCCATGAAACACATGAGAGAATGGTAAAAAGGAGAGATGTGGCATTATTTAACTCCAACTTGAGACTCAAAAGTACATTTAGAGGAAAAGATGAGAGTCGTTTTATACAGCATCTAAAGGAAAAAATGGGCAATTGCAGCACAGCTGTAGGAAAGAAACCAGGGCACTCTTTGTAAATGGATGGCGGAGTTTTGTCCTGTTTCCCAAGTCTCCCTTCTTAAACCGTCCGCAAGGATGTTCCAGTAATGAGGGCTGAGCACTCGCAGCAATTTGTCGGGTTGCAGACAAAAAAGTGGGTTTGTTGGCATTCGTTACACGTCCCCAACGCGAACGGCCCATCCTTCTTTCATCCCCGGTCAGAATAGACACGGAGACTGGAGATATTCCAGGAATAATAGGAAGGGACTGAAACCAGGTAATGAATCCCACGGCAGAGAAATGAAAGCGGCTGCGGCCCTCCGTCTGGAGGGGATCGGGGCTGCAGAGAGAGCTGGCTGTCGTCGGTGCCTTGGCAACCCGAGGGAGAAGGATTATCCTCTCTGCTGTGCTCCACGTCTTGCAGGGCTAAGATGACTTTTTGATTTTGGGGTGAACCGCTACAAGGTGTAATACACGCCAGTTGGCTTTCGCTGATTATTCTCCCTAGGAAAGATGATATTAAGGATTTATATTAATAAACATATATCCATATGGAGGAGGTTATGTCTCCTGCTAAGGGATAAAAATTGCACAGGCCATTAAAACTGACTTACAAGGCTTCCGTGTTAATAATGAAAGATCCGTAGAAGTCTGAACAGTCGTCTAGAAGGCCAGAAAAAGATCATTAAGAGGATGTCTCCTGCCAATAGCTGCCGAGAGCAAACAAGGGAAAGAAAACAAAAGGTTTTAGATCTGGGGATGCACAGAAAAATGAGAGTGCAGACTGTGGGGAGTGCAGTGAGAGGAGTGGGCTCTGCACGGCTCTTGCTGCCCTGAGCAAGCTGTTCTGGGGGGGGGATGCAGGGCAGGGTTATTGCTGGCGAGAGGAATAAATGATTAACTGAAGCATCTCTTCAGGACAAAAATTCAGCAGAAGCAAAAGTGGTGAGAAGGAGAAAAACATACTCCAGGAACTAATCAGAAATGCTAATTCAGACTTAGAAATAATTACGGAATTAAGGCATTACCGGCGACTTGGGAATATTTGTTTTTTACTTAAAGGCGTTAATAAACCCAGAATGAATGTTGGAAGTGATTATTTCTCTCTTCTGTCTACATGCATGCTGTACTAAATGTAAAATATGAAACACCAGTGCTCGATATTAATTAAAAAGACTGAGCACTGCAAGTCTGGAAGTGCCAGAAGTATCTGTGCAGTCTTAACTCAGCCCCTTCACTCCTCAAAGCTGAATTCACACTACCTTTTCCCAGATAGCTTGCCTCATTAGATATAGAGACTGTCTTGCTCCCACTGTTTTGTTTTGTTTTCTTTTCATCCCCAGATAGAAAATGGAATGACGTCCTTTCAGGGCCCTCCTGTGAAGCCTGGGACCTGTCACTGGGATTTTTTAGCTCGGATAAACCATTTCCATAAATGTGAGAGGGTTGAACCATTCTTTTGCTTTTCTGATTTCTGAGACAGGCGTTTGTTTCAGAAGAAGAAACTTCAGCTGATGAAAGCCTGGCAGTGCTCTAAGCATCTTAATCGATGGTGTTTGTGAT